GCGGTGTTCACAACTTATAGTAGTGCTGCGGACGAACTTTAAGAACAATCACGATTTTATACCGGCTAGATAGTAAATGTATAGTATACCAGATTATGAGACTTTTACTGTAAATAATATGTAATTGTCGAAGTAATCAATATACGATTGTAAGTGTGCGTGGAAGTCCGCACGCTTCTCGAGTTGATAATATTGTCATAAGTGATAATCCGAAAGAGCAAGTGGATATACGAGAAACTTACCATGTTGTTACCAAAATTGGAATACTTAACAATTTATTACTTCTCGTAATATTATAATAATGTTTAAAAATACATTAAAATTAACAATGTTCTTTCGATTAATTTAAAATATTATATTAATAATATTTTATATAATTATATGAAATATTATTATTAATTATATATGTATATAAAATTGAATATAAAATTTTCTTCAAATTTTTTAAGATTATTCTTGAAATTCGATCTACCAAGATTTTTTATTTTTATAAGTAAGAGTTTATTAAAAAATATTGTAATTACTAAATCTTTTTATTTTATATGTTGTAATATTAAAAACATTAATATAAATTTCAATAGAATTAACCAATGTACAGAACGAGTACAATATTATGTTAGAAAATTGTCATCTTTATCCACATGGAGCTTTCGTCACAATGTAATGTAAATTTCCGATCCATGTAAGAAGCACGCGGACTTCCAAAATTTCGTTATTGAATAGGCAAATCTCTGTGTCATGACGAAGTAACTTGTACGGAAATTACGATTTCGAAATGTTGCATTATTTATAACCGTAAATGAAATTGAAAGAACGCATATTGTGTGATGACAGTTTAGTATGACATTGTTAGTTGTGTCGCAATGTTTCTTGCTTCTCTCCCGTCACGGATTCATAGGAGGTGAGCATATTTATCTTTTATATTTTTCATTGTTAATATTGTATTAAATTTAACATAAAACATTTCAAGACTTCTAAACATACAAGATAATTTATTTATATTAATTATTTTATTTGTAAAAATTTAGAGTTAAGAATTTTTACTGAACTTCCCTAAAACAATAATTCAGATCTGATTCGTTAACACAATCTAAATCTTTTATCTCAATTCTGCTTTCTGTTTAGTTTTTCAGCTCAAATTTATTGAAAAATTACCTTGTAACAATTTTCAATTGCATCTTTGTAAAGAAAGCAAAAACTAATGAAATTTCGAGTTTTAATGTTTTGAGTTTGAACTGAACAACTCGTTTGCGATTCAATATGTGAGCTTTTCGCAATCGTCTTTTCATGGAACTTTCAGAACTCTGTGTGCTCGGAAATGGCAAGCGAATTGCGATACGCTTTGGACTGCGGCAACGAAAATAAAAAGTCGTCGAGGAAGGCGCTTTGTCGATGTCGGGGGCAACATTCAAGTCTGTCGATCGTTTCGGAGAAGGGCAAGTACGCAGCGTGCAACAAGTACAGGCACTTCGTTGGAAAAGCACCTCTGACGTGAACAAAGGGATGTCTGGCCGAGCGGAAAGGCCGAGTGATGAATTTCTTTGCGAAGTTAATTGTTTCCTTGCTCACTTGCAAATTAAAACATACATGATCGATCAATTTAAAACATGGACGGAATGGTCCAGAAAAAGAAATAGCTACAAAAATAATTAATTCTGACTGCGAAATCACTTTCAAATGTAACAAAAAAAAATGTGAATTATTCTCAGATAATTATTCTCAACAATTGTAGCGAGATTGAATTTTGTCGAGTTTCAAGTCAAACACAAATTCGGTATTATATCTCTTGATAGGAAAGAAAAAGAGAGAAAGCGTCGCGTCGTCGAAAGCTCTTAATGTCAGAAAAATCCCACAAATTCATTGCGACGAGAATTCGTGATGAAATTCAGAGACGATATTTAAAAGGAAACAGGGACTTAATTCTAATCGTGTACACACGTCTGTCCTTTTTTTACGAACCACCGTTGAATAAGATAGTCCATCATCTAGTTCCTCGTAAGATCTGTTGAACGTTATGCGAGGAAGATGCGTGCGAGAAAACGAGCGAATGAATGAGAATCACGTGGAATTGAGTGATCCTTCATCGACGTTGAAGATACACCATTTGTTATCACGTAAAGCATTCTATTGAAATTAATCCGAATATTCATCCATGTACGTAAATTTATTCGGGTACGGTGGAACGTAATACGCGCGTACAGTAGCGATTTCAAAGGTCTCCATGTGATATATAAATAACGCAAAAAGATTTTCACACATTTCACAATTTGCGAGACCAAGGGTCGTATTCTTGAAAAATATCGCATACCAAACTGTACGAAAATACTATAGCATACTTTATATATGTTACATATTAGATTTCCCTAGTTTTTCGAAAGCGTACTTTTCAAGAATCAGGCCCCTGATATCGTAAATGGCCATTTGCACTATTTTATATCACAATCCAACGTTTCGTATGTGTGATTCGCGATAAGTAATTACAATATTTTTGAGCATACTTTGTCTGAATTTATTCCTACCCTTAGCTGGTCCGACGGGGTCCATAAAGTCATTGAAAGATTATTTGTGTACACTGTAGAGTTAATTCTAATTATTCAGATACACATTATGTAGATAATACATTTCAAATCGTATTCACGTAATACGATTTTTATTTGATACAAAGAACTGCTCTATTCTCTTAACAGGATGATTTTCAAAAAATATATGTTGTTATTTTCACTAATATTTATTCGTTCGACTAACGTTTCCATGTTGATTCGCGTTTATGCGGACCTTGTGAACCAAGCAGTATTTATTTGAGTCTTCCCTCTAACTTAAAAAGAGAAAAATGTAATGTGGAAAAACGAACATTGCGAGATTCCAGTCTAGTATTTAAACTCTCGAAAATGAATGTTATATAAATCAGAGTATGAATGTTCGACGCCGTGTTGAAGAATGTATGGCATTCCAATAGATTGTACGCGGATACTATTTTAAGATCGAGCATAAAAGCGAAGAGAAGCGCAAAGTGTACGTTTTGTTCTTTTTCTCCTCTACTTACACCTTCCATAAGGATTTTGTTTCTCTCGACACAATTTGCCGAATTCTGAAATGCAAATCATAGAGTACGTACAGACACGTGATACATACATACACACATACGTACACATACACATATACACAATATACCAACTGTAAATATCATCGATACTATTACATACTCGTTACATACTTCCGTTCATATGTCGCGACATACAAGTTTGTTAAGAACCTATCGCGATTCTACTTCTTATATAAAATGTAATACAAGCATCAGCACATATTAAACGTGAATAAATTAATCGTCTGTAAATTCTCATTCAAATATTCTCTGTTATAATTGCCTTCGTCACACCTTTTTTCCCAATTAACCGGCTATTGCTATTTAACCATGACAATCCCTAGCTTATAACTGCATATTTTCCGTTATTTCTAAATTGCTCTAACAAATAATTAAATTATAAAACAGTATTAATTTTTCCTAATAAATAAAAAAAATCTTAATATTACGCTGTAAAAATGTCAATATATTTATTTCATATACATAATTTATCATCTTATATATGAGTTATATAATATGTAATATTTATGTATTTGTATATAAGAGATATTTTCAATAATATGTGAATGTATTTTGTTCTTGATCAAATATAATCCGATTTTGTGCATAATGTTCAAAATTGTAATATAGATAAAAATATTAAAACATAACATTGATAATATAGGCAAAAGTCAATAATCAAGACTAGTCTTTATATATATATATATATAGTTAAATATATAAAACTGTCTTAAAGACCACAGTTTTATATTTAAAATTATCTTAGATACAATATTAATAAAGTATAAATCAATCATATAGAGCTACACACACAGCATACACACACACACACACACACACACACACACACACACACATACAAATGCATCTTAAATTACTTATTGAAACGATCTTAAAATAAAAATTAATTACAAATACCAGTGCCTAAATATAAATATTACAAGATTAAGTAATTAAGAACACTAAAACAATAGCGATTTTTCTATTTCCAGTAATAGTGCGAGATAATTATATAATTTCAATTTCACTTTAATTACTTTAAGTTATACCTTTAAGTGCGATTACAATCTTAGTTTGCGTTATCCCTCTCCTATACAACTAATTTCTCTAATATCTAAATTAATACGCTCTTTTAACTCCACCCTTAATGTCAGTAATGTAATTAAAATATAGATAAATAAAAATGCATGTAAACGCATTGTTACATACGTTTTTAAATAATTTTTTACAGTAATTATTATAAATAATATATATATATATAAACTGAGAAAATTTATTTATTATCCAAAAATAGCTTTCTCTTTTTTTTTCGAGAAACTTATTTTGCAACAATTTATTATAGGCGCACAGTACACAATTGGAAAATAAAATTTTCGTCACCAAACAAATATAAACGTTTTTTTTTTTGACTGTGTAATCTTTCATTATATCTTTACAGAATTCTAAATGATAAAAGTACAAATTTATTATAAGAGATAGATCTAAACAAATTTGAAATTTGTGTGAATTTGAAAAATTAGCTTTTTTTATTCTTTCGCAGCATAAAATTAAATAAATATTGATCGTAAAGATTAGTTTTGGTTCAGTTTACATTCGTAATAAAGATGTAATTTTTTAAAATTACAATAAAGGTATCAAGAACAATATATGGTAAAAAAGTATTTCTTAAAATATCAAAATCTTAGATTTCTACGAAAGTTAGCATGTAATATGGTACTGACGCTAACCAATTCTTGTCGTTTCCCTAAAAATATCGTTTCGCATTAAATGATTCCCACTCCATCCGTCCACGACGTCGACGACGATGCGGACGACAAGCGTGCTTCGTCGCCACGACGAAATCTAAGAAGGGAGTTTAGAGCATGCGCTACCGAGACAGAGCCGCGCAAGAAGTGCCGTTCGGATTTAGAGTCGCGTGCCGCGCGAGTTTCGTTCGATAAAGCGTCTCAAAAAGTTTCGTGCCAAGTGGAACGAGCCGCAACATCACGTTTTTAGGTAAGTCATTGTAAGCCTTTAAAAATGATTCTTTTGCAAAATAACAACTCTCCGTCGCTTATTAATTAAATCTCACAGTACGTGCTTCTCTTGGTATAGAACTCGCATGTAATCTCTGTGCTTCCATCTCCTCGAAAAAAAATCTTCCACCCTTAGAATATTCAGTCAGTAATTGAGTTTCAAATGGCTAAAGTAAAACGAGTTTGGAGAGAAGTCTGAAAAATTGGGCAAATTTGTCTCTTCGATGATACGTAGAACTATACGCATTTAATATTCTCTGCGGAAAATACCCTCGAATTTTCAAATATCACAATAAGTACAATATATATATGTAATATATATATAAATATATGTACACGTATATTTATTATATATAGGTATATAAAAAGAACAGAAAAGAAGATAGAGCAAATAAATTCTTGAAGCTTATAGAAAAATTGCGTGCAAAGTGATTTCCTATAAAAAAAATATTTTTGATTGTATTCCGTATTGAAATCTATGTCACACGGCAAACGCGACAAGCCCAGTGGCGTCGGCGATGCTCGGCGTCTAAATATATCGACGTCGTTATGCGTTCTATTAAGATTTTCGTTAGTTTTCCATGTTGTGCGGTTATCGGATACTGGACCATCTAAAAATCTTAAATGGCAGGAATCCGCAGAATTTAATAATTATTTATTCCATATAATGCAAGTGGATGAGCCGATATATTGCGAAATATCTAAAACCATCGTGATAAATAAGCATGAATGCGAGAGCCTTGAATGAATGAATGAAAAAGAACGCGCCAGACTGCGTGCACTTGGCATGATGACAGTAGGCTATGTTCGAATGCGTGCGACGTCGCTAAAAATTCATACTCTCAAGATAGACGCTGGTTGTTTCCAACGAATGAGGAATATTTATGTAGCTTTAAGAAATTAATCATTTCAAAACCGATATCATTGATTAGAATAATTAAGTTATTATTTAATATATTTACGTAACTTACATTAACAATACAAGAACTTTTGTAACTTCCTATCTATTTTCTCTAAACACTTGTTCAAATTTATTTCATCAAAAATTTAAACAAATATTTAATAATTATCAAGTAATTAAGAATACAAGTTATTTTGAGAAAAACTTTGAAGGATTGAATTTCAAGAGTGTAAAGCAGATGAATATATATAAAATTATATAAAAATATATAATTTTTAAAAGAGGAAGATGTGCATTGTTTATTTCATTAAGATAATGATTATTTTGTTAAAGTAATTATGTAGTTTATTTTAAAAACAATCTTTTTTGACAAAAAAATTTTAATACGATTAACTATTTTATTCATTTTATTTACATTTATAGACAATTTGAGACAATATCTTTTACATATTTATAAAAATCTATTAGATTACTATATCAATCACTAGAAATCAAACAAAATAGTCAATTTACAATTAAATCAATAAAATTTGGTTAAGAAAGGTTTAAATTTATATAAAAGATTTTTATATAGTTAAGTAAAAAGGAATGACAATTTTTGTACGCATCGGGAACTAAATTATAAAAATTAGGATAATGAACAACTAACAAGTTGCTTGTATAAATATGTCATTATTGATTTATTTTGGCATACACTCTGAGAATTGCTGTGACAACGTGTAAAGAGATAGAAAGAAAAAAAGAACCTACTTTCACAACAGATAAAATAAACTCGGAAAAGTAACGTAGAAATCCTTGAGATAGATCTCTCAGTAGGGATTTATTAAGAGTATAAGCATCAAGCAAATAACTAAACTCAATATTAGAAGATTGATTTTAGACGGGTCCAAATATTTATGCGCAGCGAGAGGGATTTTCAGGCTGCGCAGTGCCTTCTGGTTAGTTTATATAACGTCGACTAGTTAAGTGCTCGTTCAAGACCTTTCCATTTAGCTATACGTACGTGCCATTTATATCTGACTGTTGGATACACATCTGCACCTGTCAAGATGCTCGCCAATAGGCTGATGCATTTTAATATCTATTCATTGTGTGTACGCAGAATGACTATAAGATGGTGGCCAAACCTCTACTGATATTATTGCCGATACTCCTGCCTTACGTATATGTGCATGGTTTTCCAAAAAAGATTCCGATAGGTAAGATAAATATTCACTGACGTAATTGACAAATAAAATATGAATAAAATACAAAAAGACATTATTTACATATTTAAGTTTTATTATGAGTTTTAAAGTTTATTAACAGTATATGTATAATGTCTAAAAATCTAAAAGCAAGTACAATTCCAATAATATATCAAAATCCCTACAATATCAAAAGGAAAGATTTATCAATATTTGCTATAAAAAATAAAAGCTTCCAAACAGTATTATTTATTTATAATATTTACTAAATATAACAACATATTTAAATCTTTGAAATATCCTTATTGTCAAACTTGCACACAATACAGTTGTGGAGTTAATACATATATCATTGTTAATATCTTTAAATATTAAAAGAAATATGTTGAAGAAGTCATGTTGAGTCAGATTTGCACACTCATAACATTAATACGTACTACTTTATGAAAGAGCTATTTTGTTAGTTATTTCAGTCATGTCAGTGAAACTCGATTTTAAAAAGAGCCGGTCATGTATTTACAGTAGGGCTATTCGATCAAGATGAAGCAATCCAGCAGATGTTCGAATCATCAGTGAGAACTGTGAACAAACATAGACATGAGGACCAAGAACTTTCAAATGTATTCTTCCTAGCGGAAACGGAAAAGGTTCAAGTGGACTTATTCGAAGTATCATCGAAAGGTGAAGCTGCTAGTCAATGCTAAAATAATATATGTTTGATATTAGATTGTATTATGCATATATCATTTTGATAGAGCTAAATTTCTTGAACCAAAATATCTATTAAATCACAATTGACTATTTGATAATCACATTTTCATCTTACTAAACTTACTTTTTATATATTTAAATAAAATATAAACACAATTCATCATTGTGTGTGTAAAAAATTATGTTGTTACATAACATGAGTTCTCAGAATAGAAGATATAATATTAGACAATAAATAACCATTGCACTTTTTCGTTTAGTGTAATTAAAATAATGCAACTCTCTTAGGGTTATATCAAATGCATACATTTTTATATAAAACTGATTTTTCAAAATGTTTAGTATGCGATCTAGTAGAGCCGGGCATAGCGGGTGTTTTTGGACCTCAAGAAAAAATAATCGCCGAGCACGTGCAAAGTATATGCGATGCGATAGAAGTACCACACATCTCTGTACGAGAAGATCTTGACCAATCCTTTAAACAACGCGGAATAGGTCTGAATCTGTATCCGCATGTGAACTCGTTATCAAGAGTAAGTAACTGAAGTTTGAAAGGTTGATATGTTGTAATCGTATTAAATACGCTGTTGATATAAATAATATATAAAGAGGTAATATAAACAATATATACATATGCAAACAGAATTTTGTGTTTTAAAACAAAAATTATTTTCTCAAAGAAAATTATTTATTACCTATTTATGTAAATATATCTATTATATAATAATATAATCTCAGTCTGCATTAACCAAAAACAAAATAAAAGTTAACAAATTATTAATGATTACTGCAGGAAAATAGTAACATATTTAATTATAATTTTGTTACTTAACTTTTATTTTATTTATTCCTATAATACTTGTATAATAATCACCAACAAAATTTTTTCAGATTTATAATCAATTAGTCACAGAGTTGAAATGGAAAACTTTTGCAATACTGTACGAGAATACCGATAGTCTGATTCGCATGCGTCAACTGCTGAAGCGATGGGATGCACATGGGAATTTTGTATTTATGTACCATTTAGGCTATGAACCGAATTATAGGTATACTATAACAAATATTTAATTTTGCAAATAAGTATCTTAAAAATTTTTCGATTTCTCAGTGACAGAAAATTGATCATCTTATTAATATTTATCACGATGAATTAATTTTCATATTTATAATATGCACGCACGAGAAATATATGTGACAATTGTCAATAGTTCTTATAAACATAAAAAATATGCCTGTTATTTGCTTATAGTTCTTGAAAGGCATTTTAATTGTTTAATATAAATATTATTCTAATTATATAAGTATTTTTATAAATTTACATTAAAACACTTTTCAAATATTCAGACTTTTAGATTTTTTTCGATCAGACAAGACAGTTAGATAATTTTCAGTGAGTGTGATAATTATACCAAAAGTAATTAAGTGAGATTAAAAAGATTGATGAATTTAATTTTAATCGAGAAAATTTTCCAAGAAAAAGTAAATTAAATGTACAGCTTGGCATCGAATCTTATATAGGAAAGGAATGCAGGAAATCAAAGCAACAAACATAGAACATATTATCATCGACTGCTCATATGAAATTCTCAACGAGGTTCTGAAGCAAGCTCAACAAGTTGGGATTTTATCCGATAAATATAAAGTGATTGTAACTTCTCCGGTAAGAGAACACTAGTTAAAATTATAGAAAAGTAATGATTAAAATTGTTTCGCAACAGAGAATTCTGCATGAAATATATATTCTAAATATAAACTATACTTTATGTAAAAATTCATATTCTGTAAAGAGTACATGAATGGTCCAATGATAATATTTATTAATAGAAGATAATTTAATGAAGTCAAAAGTTTTAATACATATATAAATAATTTTGTTTAAAAGTTACAAAATTATAAGAACATATATATAAATGTATGCAAATAAAATTGTAAAATTTTTTTGATTGATTTTTTGATTGACACAATTGATTCAATATATTCATTAACACTGCAAATGTATTAAATATTTGTTCATTCAAACTTTATCAATACTACAATTTCAATTTCGTATGACATTTAAATTAGGAGTAAAAGCTTAACGCGTGTATAATCCGAAAAATTCAATTAAACACAACATATACAATAAATACATATGCATGCAGGATCTACAAACCTTGGATTTAGAACCATATCAGTTTTCTGGTGTCAATTTAACTGGCATTCGTCTGATCGATTCGGAAGATCCGATAGTGCTGCAAATCTTGGACAGGCATAAGAATGAATGGGGTCTAGACAATCCTTCGCAGCTGAGAATCGAACATGCGCTCATGTACGATGCAGTTCAATTATTTGCAAGAGCTTTCAAACAATTGAAGGATGCTACAAAGGGCGATGTTAAAAAATTGTCATGTGATGATAATAGCAGGTGGGAACACGGACTGAGCTTAAGCAACTTTATGAGATCGGTAAGATAAAAAAAATGCTTTAATTTAAATATTTTAGACATTTCTAACATATATCAAATATTTTACTCAAACTGTATATACACATAAATTTGTTTGGTATTAATTCCTATTCTTAAAGAACATTAATAAATAAAGAATACAAAAATTGCTATAATATAAAATTAATTTAATAAATTCTATTAACATTAATTATGACTAATATTTCTTATTTTTGAATTAATTATTCGTTCAGTAATTCTTTTGTTATAAAAGCAATTCTTATCGTGCTATTTCACTTTTAGACCGAAACAAGAGGTTTAACGGGCCTTGTCAAATTTGACAGAGATGGTTTCCGTAGTAACATAGAATTGGATATCGTACGTTTGACTGAAAATGGTCTAGTAAAAATTGGTGAATGGAACAGTACAACAGGGGAAAACATCGATTGGCTTCCAGAAATCAATCCAAAATCAGAAGCTAAACTGAACATACAAAATAAAACATTTACCGTTTTAATATCTCTTACGTCTCCATATGGCATGCAAAAAGAATCAATGACTACGTTGAGCGGCAACGAGCGTTACGAAGGTTTCGCAGTCGATATCATACAAGCCATAAGTACAATACTCGAATTTAATTATACCTTACAAGTGGAAGCGGATTATGGATCTTTGAAAGACGGAAAGTGGTCTGGTATGCTTGGAAAAATTATGGCTGATGTTAGTATTGAGTGTCAAGAAATATAATCAAGTAATAAAATATAAACAAAAAGTTTGCATTAACATAACGGGATCCATAAATCGAAGATGTAACGCTCTTTTAGGAAGCAGATCTGGCCATCACGGATCTTACTATCACATCGACACGGGCAACTTACTTTGATTTTACAACGCCAATTATGAATTTAGGTTAATAAAATTACTGTAAATAAGCTAAATAAGATGATTGACAATTAATTTGAATTTGCTATCAGTATATGATATGTATGAAATAATTCTAATTCTAAATTAAATATTGAAAAATGATATATATATATATTTATATAATTTTACAGGAATTAGTATTTTATATCGAAAACCAAGTAAAGCACCTCCAAATCTATTTTCATTTCTATCACCTTTCTCCAACGACGTCTGGCTTTATTTAATTGGTACTTACGTGATAGTATCGCTGTTACTATACGTAACCGGGAGACTATGTCCTGCAGAATGGAGCAATCCTTATCCTTGCATTGAAGAACCCGAAGTACTTGAAAACCAATTTTCTTTTAAAAACGCCTTCTGGTTTGCTATAGGTGCCATTATGCAACAAGGAAGCGAAATAGCACCCATGTGAGTAATAAATAATTTTCTCAGTTGTTACTATTATATATTAATGAATGCTATTAATATGAGTCATCTCAAAGATGAAATGTTTAAATATTTCCGTCAAAAATACAAAAAGAATATGTATTGATTAGTTAAATAATTGATTAAAACACAAACATATAATTTTTAGATTATACAGGTTTCATCTATTCTTCGTTTCAATCAATTTAAACTTTAAATTCTTATTATTTTCATTTATTAATTTTTAAAAATTTTATATGAATTAAATAAATTAAAATATTTATATAGAGGCATTTCTACAAGGATGATTGCAAGCTGTTGGTGGTTCTTTTGCCTAATAATGGTGTCAAGTTATACAGCCAATCTAGCGGCGTTTCTAACTATAGAAACTGTAACATCGCCTTTTGATAATGTTGAAGAATTAGCAAGAAAAAAAACTATTAAATACGGCGCAAAAAAGAAGGGAGCCACGCTCAATTTTTTCGGGGTAAATAATAAGTAATTACATATTTTACTCGAGGTAAATAACAAGTAATTACATATGTATGTAGCAATAAATTTTTCAAATACAAATTGAAGAGAATAAAGGGCAATAGGAGTTGGACACAGAAGACGTCGCGCAATTAAAAACACCACTAATAAATGACAAAAATCATTTATTCGAATTTTTGTTACTTATTAGTGGTGTTTTCTTTTTATGCTCTTTATTCTCTCTAATTTGTATTTAAATTGTAACGTCTTAATTGATTCTATTATTATAAAATAAATTTTCCAAAACGTCCTCAACATTTATTTTTTTTATATTATATATTATGTAAGAATAATCTTAAACGTAAAAAATCTTAATTCTCAAATAACTTTCTTCTTTTATCATTTGTGTTGTTCGTTTTATATTTTTCTTAATATTACAATATTAATGAGAGAAAATTCAATAATAATTTTTACAACACATATAATTGTCATTTGTTACACATGCAATAGCAATTAATCTTACACGAAACACAATTAGTTAAATAGCTTTGAATAAAAATATGAGTAAAATAACATTAACAAAGCAATTATACTTATTGTTAGTTATCACTTGATATATTATTTTATATAATTATTAGCATTATCAGCGTTTACTATACATTTGACATTTTTTTCATCCCTTGTAGAATAATTAAACGTAATAACAATTTTTCCTATTAAATAACAGAGAAAAACAGTTTTAAAGTAATAGTTCTCCAACTAATTAAAGTCTACAGAATATTAGCAATAATATTTAAATATTATTAATATTTCTAAAAAATAAATAATTTATATTAATACACATAAATGCATAGTATTAAAAATAAGTATAATAAATGTGTAAATTGCATTCTATAATTCAATTTTTTGAAAAAATTTTTCAATTCCAAGGATAGCAATCACACAATATACAAAGACATGTACAAATACATGATGGAAAATGAGAACGACGTACTAGTAGCGGAAAATTACGAAGGGTTACACAAAGCCAAATACGAAGATTATGCGTTTCTAATGGAATCTGCTTCAATTGAGTACTTATTGAATGTTTAAATATATATTTTGTATTTTTATGTATTACATGCACATATACGTATTATTATACATATATATATTTCCCTAGATATCTGATAGAGAGACATTGTGATGTCACACAAATAGGAGGACTTTTGGATGAAAAGGGATATGGCATAGCAATGAAAAAGAGTAAGTTTCATCAAAATATCTTTGCACATAAACTTCTTTTCTTTTCTTCTGTTACTTGAGATAAGATAAATCTAAATATTATCAACAGGAGTAATATATAATATACAGAAGTACTATACACAGCTCTAAATATTTATTTATTATTTAGTGATATATTCATTAGATAAACATTTAAAAAAGATTTATATGACTCTATTCACTTATGATCATTTTTTTAGAATGTAAATGTCTTTGAGAGATATATTAATACGTTATCAACGTTATCATAAAACATTATTACAGACTCACCATATCTGCACAACATAAATTCTGCTGTGTTGAAGTTATCGGAAGGCGGAATTATACAGGAAATCAAAAAGAAATGGTGGACACAAAAGAGAGGCGGAGGAAAATGTCAGGTGAGTGGAATAATGTGATTTTTCTATTATACTATATACTACTCAACAAAAAATAAGGGACACTTTTGGACACGCTCAACATCGCTTAAAATTTTACAAAGACCTATGACATGAAATAAAAATCACACGAAAATGCGGTTTATAGTAGTCGAAAGAGTGAATCTTTACTTTCAATTTGCCCTTTTTAATGAGCATTATACGATTTTTTTCACCGAGTTATTGAATGTTGAAGCAAAAGTGATCATTTTTGTTTGAAATTCATTTGTGTCCGTCGTTTGTAACCTCCGTAAGGGATCAATAAGATTTAAATATCAATTACCGATTTCAAAAGTAAAGATTTAAACCTTTATGGTTTTTTATTTTTTGTCTGCGACGATTTTTCACCGAGTTATGGTATTCTAAATGTTGCACAATTTTAAACGTGTTAGAAAGTTTCCCTATTCTTTATTGAGTAATATATATGTATTTATAAAATGTATACATCATATTCATCTAATCTGCTTGTTATGTATCAATCACTGTTTAGGAAAGTGCTGGAACCAGTCAAGCAGAACGACTAGGTCTTGACAATGTGGGTGGTGTATTCTTGGTACTCACCGTAGGCGTCGCCTTATCCTGTGTATACACTATAATTGAATTACTTTGGGATGTTGCCCGAACATCCATTCGAGAAAATGTAAGCAGACTATTCTTAATTACAACACAATATATCACAATCGTATCGTTTTCTACTGAATTTACTGAAACCAATATGATTTTAATACAAAGACAACGGAATAATCAAAATTAATTTAAAGAACTAACGAATAACTTTCCAAACAATACACTCCAATTTCTTTTAAATTTAACATGCAGATCTATCAAAAATATTTTTTATCCTGTCTTTCCATAAATGGTTTTATTATCTCTTCCATTTTCACCCTTTTATCATCTATAAGTAGAATAATAATAGAGAAAAAACAAAATTTAACAGATGAGAGTTTTTTGAACCATTGATTGCAAACATAAGATCAGATTTGCAAAATTATTCACTTAAATACAAAAATATTTAAACAAATTAACAAGCAAATTTATTTATTTCATAATACTTTTTTCAATTTGTTACTCATTTGTTTACATTTTTTTATTTCAGTAAATAATTTTACAAATCTGACATATTTATAATCAATGATCTAAAAAACTTCTATACCTTGTATTAAATTCCGTTTTTATATGTCATTATTTTACTAATATTATAGATTATAAAAGGATCATCATGACAATACCGTGATAATAATCTCAAAAAATTTTGTTGATTTAATTATTGTGAACTAAGCATATTTTAATTTCAATTTAAATTATAAATGACGATAAATTATGATTAGCAGTTAAAAAAAACCTTGTAGAATATTCAACAATATTTTTAATCGCTTATTTTTTTATAACACATAACATATTCATATTTGTTTATTAAATACATAACATATGTTATTTACTTTATAGGTGTCTTTTAAGGAAGAATTAATAAATGAACTAAAATTTATCGCGAAATGCAGTGGTTCTAAACCGGTGCGAAAAAAAAGTGAATTATCAAGCAAAAACGAAAATGACAGTACAAGGGGATGTACTCCTCCATACGGTTTTGTGCCAACAGTAATAAGAACGTCACCAATTGACAACAAATAATAACAAAATAAGTCGTAAATAATAAAGAGAGAGGCTACTTATTCAAACATAATTAATATTTTTTAGTTCTTAATGGCTCTCAGGAGATAACGAATTGAATCGTTAAACTAACATGAAAACATTTTGCAACATTTGTGTACTAAATGAAAGAATTATAAAAAATATATAATATATAATACATACTTTTCGACAAATTCACTGAAAAAAAATTGCATTATTTTATACCCTTCACATATTAATTAATTGTCGACAGAAGTAATAGAAGAATTGGAAAAAATAATAGCAGCAAATCTTTGCATATAATAGCTATGTGATCAAATAAAATAATAAATTAACATTATATTAGAAAAATTAATCTATTTTTATAATTTTATTTCTTCATATTCATTCTATTATTTATTAAACAAAATGAAACAAATAAAATTCAGGATCTCTTACAGGAATTTGAATTCAATACTGACTAATTTAATATATTAAAAAATAATATTTAATTATTTATTTCAAATATCAAAGGCACTCTTATTCAGTGTTATAGTACTTCAGATAAATAATTCATTATACTATTTTTTAGTAATAAATTGATTAGTATTAAATTTTCGTAAAAAATTAGTCTAATTTAGAAAAAAAAGATTTTTTCATAATATAATAATAAGTAAAGTAGAATAAAATGAATAAAATAACTATAGTAACAATAAGAAATACTATATCAAATAGTACATTGCAATTTTTATATCTGCAGAATGTGTAACTATTTCAACTGCAGATTATAGAAAATTCGTGAATAATAATTTAGAATGGCAATTCTAGAATACAGTTTATGTATGATATTTAACATTGATAAAACGATCCTTCTAATTGCAATGAGTTACGATGATCATGCGCAAAATAATATACGAGAGAAGAAGATATAGTTCTATTACTTACTTTGCAGGCTCTTGCATGTGATTGAAATAGTTAACCATGGGATAGTATAACCACTGGCTTCGATAGCGCCGGTTGGCTCGTAGTGTATATAAATTCGGTGACAGAGGATCTTCTTTACTCCGAAAAGTGTTTCCAATAATCTACAATAAGTACAACTGATCGTGCGAGTGATCCCATAATCGTTCAATCTTGTTAATCAACAAATCCAAATGGACAAATAACAGAAGTGATTTTTAAGTAAACGTGGGAAAAGGATGCTAACATATCTCGTGAAATTGTTGCATAAATCTATGAAACTATTAACCAGTATAACATTGCTCTATAATTCGAAAATGGTTTGTTTTCTTGCGTATTGAGGAAAAGTTTTAAATACTTTCCAATGCAACTATGTCACCTGAATTTTACTTTAGCAATAAGTCGCGTAAATGATAAGTAGATTCACACATACATCACATCGAACTATTTAGAGTTTTGTTGTAACGAAAACATTAAAAATACGCTGAATATATTAACTGCACTCTTGTTAACTGAACTATGAATAATACTATGCAATATAACAGAATAATGTATTTACATATTAGAAAAGAACTAAACAAAAAAAGAAGTATTTATAAAGTAAATTTTATGAAGGCAGATTTACGTTTGCAAAATGCTACTATATAATGATTGAAACAAAATTAATTCTCTTCTCATAGATATATAATTAATCATACGTGAAATATTTTATTTTGTAAAATTCCAGATCGTAAAAACATAACAGATACGTTAACGGATCCAAATTATTTTTTTTAAATAACACAAAAATTATCTAAGTTTGCTAGACTAAAGTTAAATGTTTTCCAATTATATAGGTATTTAGTAAACATTTTTGAAATTATTCAAATATATTTTTTATAACAATTTGTGACATCTCTCAAAAGTTTTATTTGGGATAAATAAAGTAAATCGTATATTATAAAATGTTTAAATTTACATTCAAAATTATGAAATAATTTTAAGGTAATATCCAAAAAATGAATTCATATCACTGACAGCTTTCAAAGACTGTCGGTGAATCATACAACAGTTGTTTTCAGTAGATAGATTGAAAGAAGCTGTTGCAGAGTACGTTGGCACAGCGAGATCAGAAGCATCTAAATATACCACACTAGTTATATGTATATGTACTGCATTAGTGTGCTTGCATGTTTAGACTCTTAAATTATCTAAGATAGCGGAGAAATACTAATACAATGACAATAACAAATTTGATTTCAATCCATTTAAATCAAAAATTTTCATAATTAAGTGTTTACTTTTACCGAGATGGGAAGTTTAATTCTTACTACGTATTCTATACCATTTACTTTGCGCTGCTATTAGAACGATCTTCTTTTAGAATATCCGGGAAATACTGCTCCTATGCATCACTGTTGTATGTATGCCCAATATTTTGGGATTTCCAAGGAAGATATCAATCGGTAAGCTCGCCATGTTTCTCGTGAACAATAACATATGCGGGTAAAAGCAAAATTAACCAATCCAGCGTATCGATGAAATTGAATGATCGCAGGAGGTTTGTTCGACAGCGACGAGATGATTCAAAAAGCGTTTGAAATATCAATTAAAGCGGTAAATATGAACATAACTTCCATCAATCGCGTAAGGAATATAGTGTTAACATCCAGAACAGAAAAAATCAACAAGAATGTATTCCAAGTAGCAAACATAGGTATATAATTTTTCTTTCACACTTGAATTAACTGTCAGAGTTGGGAAAGATTTACAAAAGTAACTCGTTACCATTATCGTCCTTTTTTTCTGAAATATAATTCATTATCGTTACTTATTATTGACTTAAAAAAGTTACTTATTATCGCTACTGTTACACACAAAAAGTAATTTATCGTTACAGTTTTCGTTACATTTCATCAAATTTTAATAACCCTTTTTTTAAAATGGCATCCAATTGTTTATACCGCTAATTGACCTGTTCAATGCGAGATCAATAGTGGTTATAGTTAATCGTAACATAATATTCTCTTTTTTTAACTCTTTGTTGAAAAAAATTTATGTATATTCCATACGTATGAGTACAAAATAACAATAAAAATAATGATTATATTCGTTACTGTTATTAAAAAGATGTAATCGCATTACCATTAACATTACAAATAAGAAAATGGAACATTTAGTTATATGTATACTCATTTGTTACTGAAAAAAACATTGTAACAAGTAACGCGTTACTACCCAACCCTGTTTTCTATCTTTAGAACGTTCTTATACCTCTGAGATATGTATAATCTAATACGCGCGTTTATTATCACACGCAACGTACACATTTGGAATCTTTTGGCGCATATACATTTTTTCTAAATACTATTTATGCATTATACTATAAAATAATGTGTTACAGAATCAAAATTCGAACAATTTTAGCAAATTTCATTAATGATTGATAAATGTTTCAATTTAATAGCAATAAAGTGCTTAATTATTAAATGCAACTAATGCATTCAGAACAATTTGTGAAATTACATTATGCATTTCTGAGCGTTGTACACAGCGTGCGAGTTGATAAATAATGGAGTGGCCGGAATATTTGGTCCTCAAGATAAAACGACAGTAAACCACATTCAAAGTATGTGCGATACCTTGGATATACCTCATATTGCTGCCAGATGGGATTCTGAACCAAAACGTGGCAATGTAATAAACCTGTATCCGCACCCCGACGCACTTTCCATGGTATTTATTCTTATTTATGAACTTAGCAATTTATATACAAAAATTGCCTTTAATCCATAAAAATCTGAGTCATACAATTACATTCGATTTATGTGGCTGGAATCTTTTTATTAAAATACGAAAATTAGACTAAAATGTGTTTCAACCAGAATAAAGAATTGTATTGCTTATAAGAAATTTTCAAGCACTGTTTCCAGATAAACATCTCCAAATTTGTCACATTTTATGTGATTATTCATTAAACAAACGTAATTTAATCAAAACTGGGGAAAAAAGAAATTAAAATTTGTTATATTCAACATATTTCTATAATTACTGCCATTAATTACATTCACATCAAAATTATAATGTCTGAAATTAGGTTTTTCAAGAATTAATAAAAGAATACAAATGGAAAGAATATGCAGTACTTTACGACAATGCGGATAGCCTGATACGCATAAACCGCCTGCTCCAGTTGCCAAACATGAATACCATTTCCGCGATGGTGTTCCATTTAGGTAGCGGACCAAATTTTAGGTATGCATGCGCGAATCATATAAATAGGTCGTTCCTCGTACGAGTCTGCATGTAGGTGCAAACAATGTTTGTTAAATAAAGTTATTATGCACCTGTGCCATTATTTAACTCTGCAGTAAACGTCAAAAAGCATGATTTACTATACGGTTATATGGATACGAAGCGAACGTCACTCGCTCCGTTAGACATGTTGTTATTGCCGAGAAATTTTTTAAAGACGCAAATCATCCAAATTGATGAGATGTTTTATTTGCAGACAAACTATGAAAGAAGTTAAAATGTTTGGATATAACAATATCATAATCGATTGTTCATATAATATTCTTGATTCTGTTCTCAAACAAGCACTACAAGTCGGAATAATGTCAGAGAAATATACAATAATTATTACCTGTCTGGTAAGATAAATTTTTTAATAATAATTTTAACATTTTGTTTAATTCTCACAATTATCGCAAAATATATCAAAATGATAAAAAAATCGAATATTTAAAAAAAATTACAGTTTAAAAAAAATTCTAACAAAAAATCTTATGTACTGAAAGTAAAATACGTTTATTGTCATTATACTCAAAATAATAATAAAATGTATTCGAAAAATAATAGATATATTTAATTGTGGGTACAAATTTCTTTATTTGATTCATAAACACACATCTAGCGGCAATAACTTAACACGCGTTTGATTATTAGGACCTGCAAACTTTGGACTTAAAACACTACCAATACTCCGGAGTAAATTTAATGGGCGTACGTTTAATCGACCCAGAAAACTCAATTGTTCGACGTATCCTCCAATCTCGGTCTCTTAATTGGAACTTGACAGACGGTTCCCATTTAAAGGTAGAAGCGGCACTCGCTTATGATGCAGTACAACTTTTCGCAAGCGGTTATGCACGATTTCGCAAAAGTGTCAAGGGAAACCTTAAAAAATTGTCTTGCAACAGCACGGAAATTTGGGGGCACGGTTTCAGCTTAAGTAATTATATGAGAAATGTATGTGCAATTATCGTTTATTTATAGTAAATTAACATTAAATATATATTAATCTTTTCCATAAGATACGTCTATGTTTAAAATTAATTTAGAAATAGTCTAGAATACTCTATAATTTTTAGATTACTAAAATACGGCTTCATCAATTATAAATAATTTTCTCGTTCTAATTCTTGTTTATTGAAGAATGTGCTATTTTTTATATAATCCAAAAAAACTATACATACGGTAGATAAAGTGTTGGTGAGACCGTAGATATCTCTTGGAAAATATCAAGAAGCCACTCTATAATGTATGTATAATGAACTTTTGAATTACTTATAGGAGCAAATACACGGATTGAGCGGTATAATAAGATTCGATACGGCTGGATTTCGAAGCGAATTCCAATTAGATGTCGTAAGTCTAGGAAATGAAGGATTGTATAAAATTGGTGAATGGAAAACGAACTTTGGTTTTCAATGGAAGCCGGAGGACTACAGAATCTCCGGAATAGATAAGAGTTTACGTGATAAGCATTTTCTTGTCCTGATATCGCTAGTATGTCCTAAATAATGTAATATCCATTTAGATATTACATTAATAATTAATTAAGTTAATAATTGTTATAGAAAAATAAATGCAAAGTTTTTCTTTATTAAGGAAACAAAACATCTATTTATTTTATATTGCTATAGTTAAAATCATTATAATTTAGAATAATGTGTTGATACAAATGGCATGCTTAGTAAGTTACGTATATCAGGAATAATGACACGTAATTGAATGAAAACATATTGTTATCAATTTTAACAATGTCAATTTTATCACTCACAGCTGGGACAATATTTTTCACGATGTATAATATTTTCTAGTAGACTTTATAAAATGCAAATTAGCGTTACATTTAATGGATATTTTTCAGTAATAACCGTAACTCTCTTTAGATTCATGAAATGCAGTAACATTGTTTATATAAGGTGTTTAAGATAATATTTATATTTTTGAGAAAAATTAAATTGAAATCCATTCCAGACGCAGCCATATGGAATGCTTAAAGAATCATCCTCTAGAATAATTGGAAATGATCGATACGAAGGCTTCGCGATAGATATAATTCAAGAAATGAGCAAGATGCTAGGATTTAATTATACATTTGAAGTTCAGATTGACAAAGCTTACGGATCGTTTAATAATATAACCAAGAAATGGGATGGAATGTTGGGAAAAATAATCTCTGGTGTAAGCCAATGAAATATTCTTCCGCGTTTTGATTTTACCTTATATTATACGAACATATATTGAGTCGATTTCGTACGTGAGTAGTGCTGCTACCTTCCACGTATACGCAATACGAAAGCAACACGTTGTAGCTTCTTATATCGATAAAGTAGTTGCCTTTTCACAGATACGTCGATAGAATCTGATGATTTCCATTTACTTTTTCGAAAATCGATTTCATTACTAATACAAAATTAAATATATTTTAAATTAATATTTTCGATAGACGTTTTCATCCTTTTTTTCTCCATTTTATAATCTAATAATTCACAAAAGTATAAAGGAGGTACAAAGACCTACATAAATTGATTAAAAAAAAACGAATATCAATTTTATCACATACCTAGTATTTCCTATAGAAATTTTTTTTATAACACGCTGAATTTTTTTTATTTGATCTTGAAGGAAGCAGATTTAGCGATCACAGATCTGACGATCACGGCGGCAAGAGAAGAAGTTGTAGATTTTACAGATCCGTTTATGAACTTAGGTAAAATGTGATAATAATGTATCACATATCGTAATATATATAATCAACCAGAATAGAGTATATATCGAGATTTTAAAATTTACGTTTGCATGAAACAATATTTTTTTCAGGTATAAGCATTCTCTACAGGAGACCATCAAAAACCCTTCCAGGTTTATTATCCTTTCTAGGACCGTTTTCGAAAGACGTTTGGTTATATTTGATCGGAGCATACATCGCCGTGACAGCATTATTATTCGTAATTGGAAAACTCTGTCCCGCAGAATGGACAAATCCATATCCGTGCATCAAAAAGCCGGAAGTATTGGAAACACCTTTCACTTTGATGAATACTCCGTTTCTAGTGATCGGAGCCATCCTGAAGTCACCTACCGGATTTGCACCTAAGTGAGACGATCCACTTCAGCTTGCCAACGTTTGCAGAGTGTGCTTTGAGAATGTTTTTCTTGCATAAAATCAAACAAGTTCTTAAACACACAAAACTTCCTGTCGTTGCAAGTTTTTGCGTGCGTCTCACAGAATCAATTACGGTGCGCGCGATTGATAAATGTCGTTCATTTCGTATATACAGAGCCAGCTTTTATTTTAATTTATCAGCAGATCAGCAAACTTTGCAAGCGAGTCAAGACTTGAAAAAGAGTGATAGATTTTCATTCTTTTGAAGTGAGATTTCACTCTTTTGGTATAAGATTTCCTCCAAGGAACGAAATCTCATTCCAAAGAAAGGAGTGAAATTTTATTTTTTTAAGTAAATCTCATGCCAAAATAATAAAATCTTAATTTTTAAAAGAATAAAAATTTTCCATTCTTTTTCAAATTTAGTGAGAAATAATGATCTCATGTTTTTTTCCGTAATTAAAACATTCTTTCGGATATATATTTTGATACTGCTTAAAAATGTTTATTTTAGGGCGAGAGAATGTTCTTAGTAATGTATGTAAACGCATACATAGATATACATTATATGTACTATGTAGATATGACACAATTTTATAATAATTGTTTTCTATAAACGATAAACAGTCAGTCTATACATTGTCTATCGTATACCCTTAAAACAAACAAAGGAATCGAAAAGCTTGTGGTATATATTTCAGAGGAATTTCAACAAGAGCTTTAGCTGTTGCGTGGTGGTTCTTTACTCTGATTATTGTAACAATGTATATCGCCAATTTAGCAGCCGCATTATCCACGAAATCCGTCGTGTGGTCTTTTCAAGTAGCAGAAGAATTGGCTAATCAACAAAAAATTAAATATGGCGCAAAAATAAACGGCTCGACGTTCTCATTCTTTGAGGTGAGTGGCATAATTCGTAAGAGGACGAAACAGAGATAGCTGATAACTATTAATTAAAATAGCACATATTCCGTATTATAACTTATGGAAATGCATTATTACTTATGGTAGCTCAAAGCAGTAGATCTCGTTTTGCAGGATTCCACGTATGAACCATATGTGATTATGTATAATTACATGAAGACTCATGCTGACGAGGTGCTTATGAAAAGTAACGAGGACGGCTTATGGAAGGTGCAGCACGAAAATTATGCATATTTTATGGAATCCTCATCAATTGAGTATATTAAACATAGATATTGTAATGTGACGCAGATCGGTGGACTTTTAGACGCCAAAGGCTACGGGATAGCAATGAGAAAAGGTTGATGGTTCAATCATAATTGATATACTAACGATACATGTGACAAATTATTATATTATACTCTCAATTTTGTGAATGTTACACATGTTATTTTAGATTCGATGAAAGTAATTTTAAATGTTTTAATAAAATAATTTTGATGACAGATGTATCTTATCGCGCAGTTTTGTGTACTGCGATATTAAAGCTGCAAGAAAATGGTGTGATCAGCCAATTATATAACAAATGGTGGAAAGAGAAGCGAGGCGGTGATAAGTGTGACGTATGATATCTAATTCTCACATTATATATCACTTTTATTGCATTATAACAAAAATTACGTAGATTATGCTGCATAATTTTACTCACCAAAATATATTACATAGATAGACAGTGCGGTTTATAAGTTTTGAGACAAAAATTACATAATAAAGAACACGACTAAAAAATATTTTGAATTTTGCCAATCGGTATTTAGACTGCGCGCGGCTTGGTAAGGTAAGGGATGGGAAACAAGTTTAAATAAGTATAGACCAAAATGTGCATCTCTCACCGAGCCCTGTATTGATACAGAATATTAGAATATTTCTAATACTCTTTTTATATAAAAATATTTTAGTTATAAAAGAGATTCGTATACGCACAAGTCAAAGATTTAGAATATTTGCTACCTGCATAAATATTTAAAGCAGTTAAAAATCCAACTAGGCCAGAAGAAATTACTGACTTTAACGGTATATTAGATATTATTTAAGCTTAAATATAACAAATTTAATACTGAATAAACTACAAAAATCGTCTCCATTTTCTAATATAACTATTTATATAAACATATAATTAAAATGAACCAGAATTCTTTTTATCTTGTTTCTAAAATAATTACATAAACTTTTTATTAATTTTCAAAATCTTCCCTTCTCATTCACTTATTGTATATTTATTCTTATTAATTCTTAACTTTCTATCTCATCTTCTATCTCGTTCTTTCCATTTGCTAAATTACACGAATAGATAAAACATACAGACGAAGTATCTCATGTCTGCCTTTATTAGACTACATTTATAGTTGGACTGACTTAAACTTCGCCGATTTAGTTCGTACGTGTAAAGACGACATAGCGGCTCAGGAGTGCTTGCGCGCGTTTGATAAGCAAGTAAGCCAAAGTTAAAGCCGGAGCGTGTACGCTTACTTCAAGATTGAGGAAGAAATTCACTTTGGATAAATTTTACACAAGATAACTTTGAAGGAAAATTTTACATTTAATCTCCACAAACTTTAATTTAACATGCGACAATTTAAATCATGATCGTTTTGCTGGAGATGTATAAGCGTCAAAACTATCATTATTAAAACTTTGATTTTTATAGGAAACGGTAAAAGTGCAAGTGGAACCATTGAATTTCGAGGACGTCGGTGGAGTATTTTCAATTATGATAAGCGGTGTTGCATTGTCTTATGTCTTTGCCGGATGGGCATTTATCTGGAATATTCGAAACGTCGCAATCAAACATAACGTAATTATAATAAATATTTAATGACCATAATAATTTCTACCTTCGTTTTAAAAAGTTACTTTACAAGCTATAAAAATTGCGTTTTTTTTACAGGTATCCTTTACAGAAGAGCTCATAGAAGAGTTAAAATTTTTAATCAAATGCAGCAACAGAAAGGTCATTGGAAGAAGAAAACAATCCATTGGAACGAGTAAAAGCGACAGCACCGATTCCTTATAAATACGTGTCATTTTCGCGTAGTAAGTTATTAAAAATTGTATATTAAATCCAATAAAATAGAAATTATACCACAAAGTTGATTATGGTATGATTTATGTGACACGATATCGCTGACTTTAGCGGAACTGAAACGAAGAGATTCGAAAATATCACGCAATTTCTGGGAATGTATTTTAATGATTACCAGCGGCGCTAGGGCAAATACTGAAATAACGCAGGAAATAAGTGCTTCGCTAGTAAATGCTTCGCTTGAAACCGTAATCGGACCGACGATTGCGGCAAATCGTCGTATACATACGTAAGAAAATCTTCGTATGCGATCAAACGTCCCTGAAAATTATATAGCGCTTTCGCATCGCGCAACGAGAAATTGTGTGTTACCATCCGAATGATAAAATTTTACGTTACACTTTAACGCCGGTCAACGAGCGATTATTTATATGTATCCTCCGATGTCGTAAAATGTTGCATATACGAGCGCCTGTTTACGCGAGAGCAATTCTCGAGTCGGAAATTTACATTTCTCAGCCTACGACATAACGATCGATTCGCCTCCTCATGTTATCAACGCGAACGAGAAATGTTTCTCCCGACGTTAAATTGTGGCAATCGATTTCCGCGGACATGTTTAGTAGAGAAGAGCTCCGTGAAAATTCTTCTTAATGAAACTCAAGTTGGTAAGCGAACAAATAGTGAGGTTGTCTAACATATTACTAGACACGAAGTACAGTTCTTCCCGGCGGCATTCTACTATTCCCTTTTAAATAAATTCACGCAACTCAGAACCCTGTTATTATGTTCGTAAAACAATTTCTTATAAATTTTACATTCTGTTATTACATTGTTTAAAAATATATGTTAACGGAGAAAATAATAAAACTGCAATTATATTGTACATTGAAAAATAGCTATAAGAATTAAAAATCAAATATCGATCGATTTTATATATTAAAAAAGCATAATTAAACACTGATTCGTCAATGCTTCAAAATCTAAAATTGTAATTTTCCTATAGAAAATATTAACAAAAAATTTTACAATTAATAAACACAAATATTATTGTGATCATGGTTATGCGTTTACACGCGTAAAATATAATAATCTACATTCTACATCTACGTGTATACAATGTAAATTATGTGAGTTATGTTTTACTATATTATTTATGCAAATAATTTACGGATCATCAAAGTCTATATTTTCTATTGTCGCATTAGATTGCATAAAGTTTTAATTTCGCTTATATATTTTTATTTATCAATATCAGTCAGATTATAAAATTTAATTACTTTTTTCTGTACTTTTCCTACATCTAATTTATAATAATGTACGTATTTTACATTGCTTGTATTATCCATATGGAAAATAGTCGTATATATATATATACTTAACATAGTTTAACGTAAACAATACGTAAAAGTTTCACGTATCTTGAAATATAAAGAATCATCCTGATTACGATAACAGTCATAATAAGATGATAAATGTTATTAGACAACTGAGCTGAATTCTTGGTATCGTTAGATCATTAAAGGTCATGGATTATCTCAACCATTTTGTCGTAAGCACACTCGCGTGTATATCCGTGGGTATAGTCATCCGTGCGTGATCGGAGCAACAAAGAAGATCCGGCGGGGAGATACGCGCAGCGGCGCGTAACCGCTGGTAGGTATCCTCACGAACAGAGAAGATCTGCTCTGTGGCCGCTAAACGATCGAAGTCGCGCGGTCTCTTTCTCCGTCGGGAATTCGCCTCCGGTTTACGATCCATGGCTCGACCGATGACACAGACCCTTAAAGAATTTCCAATTGCTATATTCTCTGACAGAGACAGAGCATCCAACGGAGAGATCTCGCAGCAAGAGAGAGAGAGAGAGAGAGAGAGAGAGAGAAGTCTCCACAGTGTCCGTCGGCCGCCTTATTCAAAGGTAGCGTCCAGCCGGCTGTGGCAGAAAGAGCTGTGCGGGTGGGGAAACATGCCGCTCGTAAGGTAGTATTAAAAGGCCATTAAACGGCTCGACATGACGTACGACTTTGTGCGCGCGTGCATAACGCCGAGAAGAATCGCTGGCGAACGAAAGTTCTCCTACCTACTTGTCTGCCTGCTTTGCCTGCCTGCCTGCTTGCTTGCTTGCTTGCTGCCTGCCTGCCTATCTGCCTGCCTGCCTGCCTGCCTGCCTGCCACTAGCTTGCCTCGCCCTGAACCAATAAGAAAACATCGAAAAGACTAGATTCATTCTCTCCTACGCTATCTGTCCCCATTCCTATCCCTCTGATTAGGCAAACCGGAGGCGCGAAATTTATGAGCACCATGTGTGAGGACCGAAGCTGTCGCTTACTCCGCACTAGCCTCTTCCCTTCTCCATCGTAGCTCATTCTGCTGTGAATGAGACTTCACTGATTAAGAGAAACCGGTACCGCGAAATTTACGATCGGTGCGTGCACGTTGGGCAAAATACGCAATAACGTAGACTTGAACACACATGCCAAATAAAATAAATCTCGAAATTTGCGCTGTGTTTCAAAAGACTTTCCGTGTAGATGCGTAAACGTGATAAGAAAATAAAAATATATGAAAGCACTGAAATTTGAGAAACTGTATAGATAATATCAAAGGAACTGATAAACAAAAATAGGATAATTAGATAAATGATAAAAATTTATATAATCTAATCAAAATTCTTCTTTTTTTTTTGTCTTAAGAAAAAAATCAGTTCAACTTAAATGCAATATATAAAACATATCTTAACCGCCAAGATATTGATGGATTTCAAGCTTGAACGAACACAGTTATCTTTCATTATAACTTAATATAAAACATGAGTAAGCAAACAGTAGATAAATGTACTTCAGATTTAACATCACCACATACACTTCAAATATTATTTTAACTAGACAAGACATATAACCTAACTTGGCGGGCCATAGATAAATGCTCACTACTTCTTACATCTCGCGCAAGCGCGCACGCGAAAACTGTTCTTTTTTTTATTAGAAATGAATCTTAAAATTAACAGAATGAAATAATATCGACATACAAAAGTTATAAAATTTTAAAAAATATGAAATTTTTAGATTAAAAAATTAAAGAATCTATACTTTAAAGAAAAATATAATTTTTTATGTGACACTAAGCTCACATTAATTGTGAGCCATCAATTGAAGAGAATATCACAACTGAAGCATGTCAAAGTAAAACCCTGTAAGTTCTTAAATTTATCAAGAGAAAGAAAAAACTTATTTTCTCGAAAACTATTACTTTAATAATTCTATAAAATACTACCATAATAACCGAAGATACGCTGTAAGTTTTTCAAGAGAAAGGAAGAACTTATTTTCTTGAAATTCCAAAAATTCTACAAAATATTACCGTAATAACTAAAGATACGAGCAATAAGTTCTGCAAAAAATTTTGATTAAGTAATTCTAGTTTAACATCAAAATTGACACCATGCGATAAAAATAACTAAAAGATATATCAAAAAGTTGGAAAACATTCTTCAAGAACCTCACAACAATAAATTCATATTCTAATAAAACAAACACAACGATATATATTTCATGATACAAACTTATTAAAAGATTGTTTCTCATAGACTTTGTAGAACATCAAAAAATATTAAACCCATATTTTTTTATATACTCATCTCAGGGATCGAAACAATCTTTGAGGTTAACAGTATATAAATTAAAAAACTTTGGAAAATATAAATATACTTATATATAGTATCTATAAAACACCGTAAAATTTTATATACTATATACTGAGAGAATAAAGAAATTAATTATTTTTGAGGAATATATATATATATTATTTCGTTATTGAGATATGCACATAAAAAAATATGGATCTAATATTTTTTATATACTATACAACATATCCAAAATCGGTGAAGGACAGTGGAACAGTTACAACAATTCCTTTTAAAAGCAAACAGATTCACCACGATCATTGATTAATAACTTTGAATAATTTACTTGTTTCTTCAATTGATTCGCCACAAAACGTACAACCATCTCAGCTATGTTAAGGAGTTAACACCGAAATGCTCAACGAAACGCGCCTGTCCGTTGGGTCGTTAATCGTCGTTATCGCGACGACAAAGCGAAATTAGTGGGCGCGCCTAGCACGGCCGAGGAAAATTAGGGAAGATTAACGTGCGTTTTCCATTACCCACGTACCGCTGCGGCTGAATGTGTGATACGAAGTGCAAATATCCACTTTGCGTGTGCACATCTGTAAGATTATAATGTCCGCGAATTCGCTTTCGATGCACCGCCTTGCCTTGTTACCAGCAGTCTTGTTTGCACCGATGAAACCGCAGACGCATCCAGATTATCCGGTTCTTTATTGCGAGCTTATTTTACATCACTCACTTTTTTATTCAGTCATGAACTACACCGAGATGCGCTGCTGTATAATATATAGTCGGCATCTTTGTAAAATCTCGCTCGACTGACGTCATCTAATTACTTTCATTCAAAATATATTTTTCAGCGTAGGTAATATTTACTTAATTTACATAAAATATTCACTTTTGTAAAAAAAAAATATAATATATTGTACTTTGTCGAAAATAATATCGATGTAATAATTTGTTATAATATGTTATATAATTTGTTACAATGATTCTAACAAATTCGTAATTTATCGATTATAAAATTTAACACATGTTAGATAATAATATTGTGAAAACTTATGAATAGCCTCTTGCTGATAATTATATTAAGCGTTTTCTTCTATTATTCGTTTATAATATTAATAACAATTATAAATGAAATTTAGACAGATAAGAATAAATCAAATAAAGAGAAGACTTTTCTATTTTCGATCAAAGCGAATCTTGATGATTAATAATATTCGTATGCAAATTTATAAATATACTTTTTAGTCTTATTAATAGCAATTTAATTTCTTAAAATTACAATTTTTTAACTTTCTAATATAGTGAAGTTATTAAATAACAATCAAGTAAAATATTAGCATAAAAATAGCTAACGAGCAATTAAATTAAAGAAATTTTCAACACCGCCAACAATTTAAAAAAAAACAGTTAATTAACTCGTGCATATAAAAAGTTACAAATTAGTCTTGTTAA